TAAGCCTGGCCAGTTCCCCTCAACACGAGGAACTGTTAATAGTGCTTCACTCATATTTTCTGTCTTATAATTTAAAAAAGTTTCTTTGCAAAAAATAGAACTGACTCATTAAAGGAAACTTAGTCTTACCTTGAGTGAGGGCTAAAGGCATCCCTGACATCTTCTGGTTTAACGAACTGCACCACATCTCCCATTCCACTTAAGTCTCGTTTCGTTCTGCTCTGCAGCCAGATGCTCAGTCTGCCAGGGAGTGAAAGGACTTCATTAGAAACCGGCACACAGTACACTGCTGCTGGGCTAGTATAAAATATGGCTGAGCTGCCAGTAAAACAGCAGGACCTGACAGGATCAAACTAATTATAAATGAATTAGGAATTAAATCCGCTTACCTCTTTTTCATCTCTGAGCTTAGACCGGGCTTGGCACTCTCCACACTCAGTGTAAATGTTGCGAGCAGAGAGCAACACAAGGTGGTCTGAAGTAGCAGTTTCATTCTGACTGAAAGCTGTTGAAAAAGACGACCACTTGTTACTCATTCATTCATTCATATAAAAAATGCTTAACATCTCAGTTACTTTGTCCTTATAATCACTCTCTGCCCTGAGCTACACCTGAACTTGCTTGCACAAGAGTAGAGAGTAGAGTCCAAAAGCCAAACTGTTACCTCTGTCCATCCACTTCTTTAAAAGGACACTGAAGATATCATTAATGCTAATATAGAAACTGTTTTCCCCCAGAATGTCTGGGAGCAGCTCAGTCTGTGGTGGAGCAGCACTTAAACTTCATTAGTATACTATAAACTTCATTAGTATGTTTTTTAAAAACTTCACTGCACTTAGCTACAGGACTTCACTTTGCAGACTCACTGCGGTGTGATCTGCACTGCCAGGGACAAGCTGCTAAGAAATTTTTGTTCTGTTTTTTCCCTGAGAGCTCCCATAGACGTGATCAGAACTTTACATTCAGCAGGACAAGAACTGAAACATCTTACACAACCTGTCTAGATAAGTCCCCAAAGAGACCGGTCAGACCCCAGGAAGAAAGTACAAAAAGTTCAACTGAAATTCAGACAGATATTTAACATAAGAACTTCACATACCTGAAACTGAAAGTAATCCGCTTGAATAAGGTGCTAAGAGAGACTTCTGACAAAGTATCCCAGAGCTTGCAGGGCTCCTATTAGTGTTGGTAGGCAGCCGTGACACTTAGCTAATAGTCTGACTCGCAAAGCCGGACTTGGGAGCATTTATAGTGCAGGTGGGAGGGGCTTGCCGGCTCATATTCTCTCATCCCTCATCCTGACTCTTCCACTAGCCAGCACATGACTGCAAAAACATGACCTGCCTATCATAAACATAATGCTATCATATTTTCAGGGAATTAAAAAAATGTAAGTAAATTCCATACCACTGACGGTGACCTCATGCACGCCTCAGAGGTACATGCTACAATAGCATTCTTGTTCCATAAAAATCAGCTATTGCTTTTACATGTTTCTTATTATAATTCTTGTAAACTTTGGATTAGGTCAACTTTAGCTAAATTTGTTTAATCCTAAATTAATATTAATTCATGTGTGCGTATGCGTGCGTGTGTGTGCATGTATACATAAGTAGAAAAAGAAGGAGTTTATTAATTGTTTAATGATGTAGTTCTTTGGAAGGTACTGTATGTGAAATAATGTGAAGTTGACTGAGGGTTGCACTGATAAAACAAAACAAAAAAAATATACCTTTTTTTAATGACTCAAATCTTATAGCAAACTGTTCAACAATCTGGTATCACTTTTTGTAAACATTAATATGGCAGAAGGAAGAATGTTTGGACATTTTTATATTTTATATGGATATTCAACAAACATATACAATTTGTGTGTGTGTGTGGGGGGGTATGTATATATATATATACATACATCTCACATTTTAATCTTGTGAGGACCATTTTTCAGTCCACACAAGGGGAAACTGAATTTTCTAAAAATCTGTGACTGCAATCAAAACACTAAAAATGGCAAAAGACTTGTATATTTTTGGTTACTTAGGGTTAAGGTTGGGGCTGGGTAGGGGCTATGGTTCTCATCACTGGGATTAGGGTTTTGCCCATAGAAATGAATGGAGGGTCCCCACAAAGATATGAATACAAATGTGTGTGTGTGTGTGTATTACTGCCCTGCAGTGGTATCTCTCATGAAACTCACGCATAATCAAAATGTAATGTCAAAATCAAAAAGGCAGAACTTGTTTTAAACACAGCCTAATCTGTTCTCAATAGATCTTTATAACATGTTTACTACTGTGATAGAGTAGTGAGTGCATTTCAGAAAGCTCAAAGTGACCTTCACCATAAGTTGTCTAGAATTGCAAATGAACGTTTGGTTGCTTGTGATTATGGTAACAGCACTTGAACTGCTTTGTAAGTACTCTGGATGTATTTTAAACAACTGATTAAACAGCCTGTGCGTGCCCGGTTGGAAAATAGCTAGGGCTAAACACATTTTCCACTTTCTTGATATGTAAATCATTCAGGCAGTTGCACAGAGGGAGCCATAAAGTTTAGCTTTTCAGCATGTGACTTCACAGCTTTGTGCCTGTTTGATAAACTAAGCAATATGGAGAATCTTAATTGGACACAAAAGCATTATTGTCGGCTGGGGTGGAATTTTACTGAACCTTTATATGTCATTCAGGCGAACACAGTGATTGTGCTGTTAGAGAAATGATATCCTTATTTGGTAATTTTGCTTGGGAAATTGCACAAGAGACAATAATGATAAACTCATGTGATTGTGTGCAAATTACTACTTATATATAGAAAAAGCTGATGTGAAGATTGTCAGGGGGCTGATTCCGATTCGTGTTGCAGTTACCCCAACTTCTCGGAATGCAGGGATGGGAGAGAATCCGTACAGAGATGATGTTGTGAAATATTTCTTACATGAATCACTCCTACTGTCAAAAGACTCATAACTGACCTAGAAATTTAATGGAATAACGCCATAGATTTCTTCATCAATTGTTTTTGCTTTGCCAGTAGTCACAATAGGTCTTTTGACTTTACCAGACTATGCCATCTGCCAAGATTTTTTTTAATAAAATGACCATCAGTAATTATTGGTGAGTTCCATTTGAACTGGGCAGTCGGAATTTACCAGTTCTTAGTTGGAAATACCAACTGGAACACCCCTGAAGTTGGAGTTCTGACTCAGAAAGTCGGAGGAACCCAACCTCAGACTCCAAGATGGTTGTGACCTTCATCCACCTAAGTGAAAGCTTTAGTTATACATTGTTTATTATCACTTATGTCTTTTCTGGATTTCATTGAATTGGTTGTACACACGGTACTGTGCACCCTGCATCTGTGGACGTGTTGCTGCAGTGTTCCTGTGCACAAAATACTGCGTAATGTGTAATCGACTGCAATTGCTGACAATGGCTAACTATGAGTCTGGCTAGAACTGATACTGCTAGATGGCTTTTCAGCTGATTGTGCTGGAATGCGGTTGAATCAGTTGTGACATCATTCCCAGCTCCTACTTCCGAGGTAATGTAACACAGCATAAGCCCCCCGCCCCACCATTGGTACGTGACACAGCTTTTAACAGTATATTGTATTGTTCTAGCATCACCACTAACAGGACTGAATATGTGTCAGAGTTTTAAACATTAATATAACCTTGATGCTTTTTAAACTTGCCCTGTGAAAATGCACAGAGTGAGAGTGGCTGAAAGGCTATTTGCAGTGCTTTTAGTCAAAGGCACTGCAATTTAAGCAAAAGCAAACGATTTATGCTGAAATCAAACTCATAGTGAATGTACTCAATGATACTGACTTGCTTTAAGCTACATACAACACTTGTCCCATTCATTGCAATATTAGCTCACAGTAAGTACACAGTAAGACTTGTAACTAATTGGAAATGTTTTATAGCTAAAGAGTTCCTGTTTATAGCACAGGCAGAAACAAACTTCCCAGACCAGCACTGATTTTCCACCATGATGTGACAACTCCTGCTGTTTGCTCTGTACATTTAGCAGTGGACGTTCATGGACCACTGCAAGCCAGTGTTGCCCAGTCAATGAACACTTGTTGTTTTTAAACTTGAAGGTGACCCTGCTAATGTGACTCAGTGATCTGACTTTTGCATGACTGAGCACTGTGTCTCATTGTATCTGGAAACCTCTGTGTATTCTTCATGTTACGTGGAGAGACCCTTCTTGTTTTTGAAGACAGAGCAGATGCTGAAGCCTATATCAGGCAGGTTACAAGGCTGTGCTACACCAAAGGCGTAAGTTTGGTTTCAACATTGGTAGGGACCACATCATCCCTGACCGCCACTCTCCAAAACACACAGTGCTCCTACAATATTGTGTCCCTACACTCCATCGCCAAATCTACGCTCTGAATGCATGCACACATCAGTGCTGGTCTGGGAGGTTTTTTTCTACTTGTGCTATAAACAGGAACGCTTTAGCTATAAAACATTTCCAATTAGCCACAAGTCTGACACTTCTCCTTTGTACTTAATGTGAGCTAATACACACACTTACATATTGAGCATTCCCAGACTGCGAAGATGAAACACGGAAAACATGCAAACAAACAGAGCAAAGATTTGCTATAGCATCTTGATAGATCTGGTTTAAAAGTTTAATAACCCAAATTAATAATAAATAATTCAACAGCAATGATTGCAGTAGTTTATCAGTTGCTTTAAAATGATTTATGGTAACTCAGAAACTAAAACAAGACGCAACTAGGCTACTTCACCGTAATCACATTTAATAATCCAACCGTAATCAAACAGGGAATATTCTTACAATTCGTAATTAATTCCCGTGTTTTGATTTGTGTGTTTCGGATATATAAAATCGTTTTTTAAATTTTTTTGTCGATGTGACACATTTCAGCGATAAGTATTTTGCAAGCCCGATTTCTTATCAGTTTTCCAGCGGGAAGCACCCGCGAAACGCAAGGCCTCCGCCCAAGCGGGGTCACTCTCCGCGACGCGCAGGCGCACTGCTCCCGCTGCTGTCAAACATGGCTGTGCTTTTTGGATAAAGAAAAATGTTCAATAGGCTTGTTAGATTTCCAATAGCATCAAACGATGGCTAGATTGGCTGATTATTTCATTGTGGTGGGATATGATCGCGAAAAGACAGGTGAGTTCCCAAATTTACTTATTTCAGCGTGGATACAACATTGAGAATTCCTTTTTTTTGTCAGGCCGTAACACTGAGACAATACTGTACTGGGATAACCAGGTTGGAAGATTGCCACTTTGCGCTTGATGGTTTCACATTGAAATAGTAAATATTTAATACACAGTTATACATTTGTCGGACATGAATGTTGCGATGTATGCTGTCTGTAATCAGATACAAAAAAGAAACTAACTATGCCGTCAGATTTGGAATGTATTACAAGTATAACTAGATTAAAGTTTCCCTCAAATGAGTCAACCTGTCATTCCTTTTCTAAGTGAATGACAAGTCGATGTGATTACGGTAGGTTATATATACAAAGGCATGTATATCAATTAAAAAAGTTTACCAACATTCCTACCTATCACAAACGATGTTTACGACCTCTTTCCTGAGCCATACACTCGGCAGCGGTTTAACTGGAATACTAAACTATAGATAGACTTACTAAACTATATACTTTAAAGCTTTTAATCAATATGCTTTAGGGTTAACAGGAGTCGGCGTTGGAAACGCTATTTTGTGTTATATGTGTTATTTTCTGGTCCATTTTTGTTTACTTTTTCCATATATCTTTTCGATAATTTTTTTATGCTGTTAGTTTTCTTTTATTATTTATTCCAAACACGTTGCATTGATATTTCTGTGGCGTTTAATGCGGTGCTTTTGGTTTTGCTCCTGTAAAAACAACACGCAGCTCCTTTAGTGTTGTATTGGGGACTAGAGACAAACGGGTGCGCGTGTCGCTGCTGCTGAATGGGCGCTTTCCTGGGAAACTTCCTCTGCTGCGCGAAGGCGATTCGTCATCTTTACTGCTAGGAAACATCCGTCATTAAAAAGGCCGGAATGAGTAGTGCATCTCCCTGGGGTGCGCTGGTTATACTGTATCCTACTCCGAGCAAAGGCCTAGAATTGCACGTCTCACCAACGCTGATTTGTGGTTTTCCGCAAAATCTGTGCAAAGTGAAGCGCCACATCACTAATTTCTGAAGATATGTGCAAGTTATCTTTAATAGAAAGTATTTCATATCATTCATAAATTACGTAGTAGTAGTAGTAGTAGTGGTAAGGGTGGTAGTAATAGTAATAATGTAGTAATAGTAGTAGTAGTAATAGTAATAATGATGAATGATGAATTTTTTTTGTCAGTAGTTATTTTAGATTAATTGTTTTTTCACGAGGGGGAAAATAAGTCAGTTATGTCTGTACAATTATAAAATCTGCCAGATTTTTGGGTGTGCATTTAGCCTTTACTGGAAAAGAATCTCCTATGTTGTTGGACTCCTTAAGGAAGAGCATTATGCAGTGTCAGCATGCATTAATATATGAAAACACACGTGGAGTGCAATAATGAGTATAATAGTTGTGTTATTAAACTCACTTCAGGTAATTTACCTTTTATTGTTTTAAAATTTGTGTACTGGTCGGTTACTAGCTGAAAATTAAATATAAGTATTTTGTGCAACTGGAAAGAATTACCATGCATGCATTCATCTCATATTCTAGTTAGTGTAGAACCAACACATGTAATCTTTAATGAGTGGTGTAGTGTAATTGTAATAATAATACTTGTAATAATGTGTTATAATTTGTTTCATTGTTTGTGAATTAAACAATTATTCAGAAATTAGCAAGGTAACTGAACCAACAGGCCATTGTTTGCTGATTACGTCAACATTTTGAGTTGGCTGCGTTTGGATAAATATGAGTACTGAACACAATCAGAAGAATTTAAAGAATTTTAGTATATATGCTTAAACAAGTTTATTCTTGGAAATACACGTTTACCATTATCTTTTTAAAAATAAAGTTGTATTTGATTGCACAATGAGGTCAGAAACAGAAAGTGCTTATCTCATTGCTGTTTGGAAATCAATATCTGATGGGATATCAAAATCCTAAGTTTGAGAAGTTCTTTGCAGTCATGTGGTTGGAAAAAAAAATCTATGTTTCCTAATTATTTATTAAATAAGTAAATTGTCCTTTGTAAGAGTAAGACCCAAATAAGGAACAATCTGGTGCTGAAAGGAACCGAATATTTCTGTCTTTCTATGTTTCCAAAATATGCTGTCCTTGCAGAATCTCTCTAAAAATCTTAAAATGTATAAATTTTCAATGTCTTATCTTTATAAATACTTAATTCTTAATTATCAGGTAGACGCTTAAGCTTTCAGTTGAGCTAGCCTTTCCATACTCCATACGTATGATTTATTTATGACCTACAGGCTATGTGCGACCATGGCCATTTGAGCCTAGTACATGGAGAATATCAGCATTAGCTTGCATTGTTGCAAACTATAAACCAAACGCATGCCTTGCTGTAAAGTTTGAAAAGTAGATTGGCTCAAGGGGAGTCTGATCTGCTGCTTAGGCTAAGTGAAAGCTGTGATTGTAATAATCAAAACAAAGCATTTTATTTTTTTTTGTTTGTTTGTTTTTCCTTAAAGATGTAGAGAGCATTACCCATACAAATGGTTTTGTTTCAGGGTGTAATTAATAACTTAAATAGTATAAGCAGTCACTGGGCAGGTGGGGGCAATTATATTGTGCACAAGGCTTAGGGATTATTACTGCACAATCACTTGTTATTGTTTAGCAGCAGTAAAAAAGGAATTTCTGCTGTCTTGATATGTGAATGTAGCACATTCCTGCGGTCCATTATCTGGGGGTCAAGACAGATTCTACGAAGGGGTTAGAACTTAAGTGAATCATACCAAGTAATTTACTTTAAGATGACCTTAGAGTATGTGTACCAAACTTAAGATTGTGCTTTTGAGAATAATTCAGATGAAGAGCATTGTAAATAGACAGGTTACTTTTCTGATTTGGTAATCATAACCAAAAGATTGTTACTTAAAATATTAAGACTAAGCTATAATATCCATCCATCCATCCATCCATCTTCCAGTTGCTTATCCTAGTCTGGATCGCAGAGGACCTGAAGCCTGTTCCAGTTTGTGGGTCATTGTGATTGGGACGCCAGTGCACTGCAGGACACATACACACACATGAAAATGGGCTATTTAGTGTTGGGACGCCAGTCCACTGCAGGACACATACACACACATAAAAATGGGCTATTTAGTGAAGCTAATTGCTTGTCTTTGGAAACCCAAGTATCTGGAAGATACCCAGGTGACATGGGGAGAACATGCCAGTTCCACAATTATAACAGAGGTGAGCTTTGACCCACCATAACTGGAGGTGTGATGCCAGCATGCCGTCCTCTAATATCATCCATCTACACCTAATAAAATTTAAAAACCAAGAGTCTGCTAAAAACTGAACTTTGCTGTCCGCCTCATGGTTTCTTCACTACTCAAACGCCATAATAGCTCCAAGGCTAGGAGCAACAAATTATTGAATGTCTTTTAATTATGTTTTGTGTGCTGTAAAATATTATTAACAAATTTATCATTTCTTTGCAGTGAAGTCACAGAGTCTTTAGCAAGCCAGCCTGTGTAATAAAGTCACAGAGACACAGGCTAGCCAGCCAACCAACCTGTGTAATGAAGTCACAGAGACTCTAGTCAGCCAGCATATGTAATGAAGTCACAGAGACACTGTGAGAGAGCCTGTGCAATGAAATTGTAAGCCTCGTTTCCACTAACGTGGTGCCAGTGCTGGTCCCCGGACATTTTCCCAATTCGGCACTGGTTCCAGGCGTTTCCACCGCATGGCCCTGGGCCAGAAAAAACAGCTCCAGCACGGCGCCACAAAAAAGCTGGGCTCAGAATCTGGCACCGTAATGTCAGTGAAAGTGGGACGGGCTATGGCGTCCAAACCTTCCATATATCCGGAAAATTCAATCCATAACCGATATAGTTAGTCTAATAACAGCGGTGCTGGCAGTGAAACAACTTGCCAGCTTATTAGCGGAATAAGGTTACATCGTTTTTTTATTCTGAGAAAAACGAAAGAGCGATCTATTGGCCAGATTTAATAATAAAGTATAAGTATGTTGCAGGCCGAATAAATAAAATATTATGGTGTTTGAGTGGCAAAGAAACCATTTGGCGGTCAGTAAAGTTCAGTTTTTAGCAAACTCTTTTATTGCACAATCCTTAAAAGGACAGCGGTAAAACAGCGAGCGAGAATAAACTCAGTTACACACAGACAGGGAGCCTATACGGAAACAAAAGTGGATGCAGGCAATAGAGACAAAAGTCATGCTCTGGAAACTTTTTTCGGTTCGACAAAATAAATCCAAAAATCGAAATAGTTTAACCTTTACTTTTCATTTCCACCTACGTAACATTTTTGTTCCGTTCTTTTTTTTAAACCGGTGGAAACGCAGCCGGGTTCTCAAAAAACACCAAGTGAGAACCAGCCCGGCACCAACACCAGCTCTGTGTTTGTGGAAACAAGGTAATAGACACTCTAGTCAGCCAATTAGCCTGTGTAATGAAGTCACAGAGACTCTAGTCAGCCGATTAGCCTGTGTAATGAAGTCACAGAGACTCTGGTCAGCCGATTAGCCTGTGTAATGAAGTCACAGAGACTCTGGTCAGCCGATTAGCCTGTGTAATGAAGTCACAGAGACNAAGTCACAGAGACTCTGGTCAGCCGATTAGCCTGTGTAATGAAGTCACAGAGACTCTGGTCAGCCGATTAGCCTGTGTAATGAAGTCACAGAGACATCAGTTAGACACATTAAGCTGGTCAAAAGGTGGGTCAGTATAAACAAAATAATCAAGTACACCTTTGCTAATTGGTTATGAATGCTTTTCAGTTAGCTGGATACCTTATGAAGCTGACATATCCCAATTAATATTCCAGTTTTGTCAGCACGATGGTAACATGAATTAAATTCTTTTTGTTTGTAAGTCATAAATTCTTTGTGATACTCTGACTGTCCTTTGTACATGTTATGATGCAGGTGTATAGGGGCGTTTAATTTTTAAATCTGAATTTTTAAATTTTTTGATGATCTGAAAATTTTTTATTTTTTTTTATAA